GGGGGGGGGGGGGGGGGGGGGGGGGGGGGGGAGTTAAAGGAAAGAAGTCAGAGGAGTGAGAGAGGAATGGAGCTACCTTGCTGAAAGAAGGTTTGAGCTTTGAGATGAGAAGACTTTCACGGACGAGAAGTTCATCTGGAGAGGAACAGGATGATACAATCTTAAAATCATCAAGAGAAGCAGTATGACCTGAGTGGCTCAGAGGGGAAAAGATGCTCGTAAGTTGAGGACTGCTGCTCGTCTTACCAGTTAAGGCAGAAATACCCAGGTGTTCAGAGACTCGTGTATGTAGATGGCGGACCGTTTGGCCCACATACGACGCGGAACAGCATCGACACTTAAAAGAATAAACTACACAAGACCTCAAAGCAGCGGGAATTTTGTCCTTAAACATGAAGAAATTGGACAAATCTAGAGTGGGACGAAACACGATTCTGATGCTTATGTGTGGGAAGGCTACAGAGCAAAGGCGTTGAATTTGGTTACGGATTTGGAGAGAGTGTGTTCCGGTATATGGGAGACAAAAGTATACCACTTTCTTTGATACAGAATGGATTAATTCCTTGGGTTGAAAGGTTTTATCAAGAAAGAGTCGAACACAACGATCAAAGAGACGAGTAGGATAACCATTCTGGTTGAGTATTTTTCTAAAAAAACTCAATCTGAGCATGGATATTCTCATAGTTAGAGCAAATATTGAAAAAAACGGTGCAATAGTGAATATATTAAACCACGTTTAATTTGTAGAGGAGTGAAGCTCTGAAAATTGGTGAAAAGCCCTGTGAATGTGGGTTTACGATAAACAGAGGTTTCAAAATGGCCATTAGTTCGTGTAATAGTGATGTCAAGGAAGGAAAGTTGACAATTGGATTCAACTTCACAAGTAAAGTTAATGTTAGGATGTTGGCGATTGAGATAAACAAGAAAAAGAGGAATATGGTCCCTAGAACGGAATAGAAGGAAGGTATCGTCTACATATCGACGATATAATAAGGGCTTGAAATTGGTAGGGCAATTATCAAGCACACACCTTTCCTCAGTGGACAAACATTTGCCAGTCCATAACACCGATCCCTCTTTTAATAGGATACGCATAGAACTTTACAAAACCGTGGAAATTTGGCCAAATACTAAGAAAATCAATAAAATTCCGCCAGATTTATTAGAAAATACGTTAATTTCAAGTTATCAGTCGGTGGGGCCACCTGTGGTGCCCACCGACTCTAGGTTTTCCCTTTGGTACGCCACAAAATGACAATTTACGTCATTTTAATTACGTAATTCTTACGAAATCAAAATCAAAATGGCGACCATGGAATAGCGTGCAAAAGTTCGCAATTGACTATATTTGGTCCAGGCAGTCGTGTCTTTTCTTTTGGGTTGTTTGAAAGAAATATATTAAGAATTCACTAAAAGTTATTACGACGTTTCACTGTTATGTTATCGAGGAGGGAAGTAGATAATTTTTACATAATTTTATATATTTAAAGTTTGTATCGCGCGGCGGAGTGATATCGGGCGCGCAATTTTGATGCTTTGTCTATATTTACTATTGAATTTTCGAAATTTCCGGTCCGCAATTTCCAAACTTTCAAGTCAGCAATAATATTTTGGTCTTTTGGATCTACAAAAATAAAACTCAAGGTGAGACATCGCCCGCTTCTTTCGAGTCTACATCCTATTCCTATCAAATAGCATTGAAGGATTATAAAGGTTCATTGGGACAAAATGTATATTTTTACCAAAAGCTGAAAAGGAGGAACTCAATTTCCTGATATCGTGTGGAGGTAACTTGGAATCTTTCTTGGCACAAGAACATATATTATTATTCCAGTTCGCTGCCTTTATACTGTACACTGGTATGTAGATTAGTAGATATGACTAAAGCGTTGTTGCTATACATGGTTGTAGACAAAGGTCATTAGCTAGTCGCTTGGTAATCATGCGAAATTCTCCTCTCACGAGGCATTATTGTATTAGACAGATGTTATAATGCGTCTAGTTTCGAGGCGAAGAATATTCTTGCCTTCCAGCCTTCGACGCACCAATTGGTAACATAACACCAGCCGATCTGTGCAATGACAACAGGATAAACGCTTATAATTTTAACACATACGATACACTATACTGTAACTATACTATTTGACTATTAAAACAACATTGCTACATGGTTGTACTTGTTTTAACTATTAGTGCCAACTGCCAGGCGGAAAAACGAGCACGCTCTTCTTTAGTGGTATTATGTGTAGTTAAAGTTGCATATTTCCATCGCCCCAGCGACTTAACGCTCCATGGAGCGTCTTGTTTGATTACAATCCTCAAAAAAAATTTTCTTGAGCAAACTTTCAACTGCCCCTCTTCCCCGGAAAGCATCAGCTCCACACGGCGGCTATGCCGACACGTTGGTGATATCCCAAACATCTAGACTTTATTGTGGAACGACTTATATTCGAACATAGTACTTGGTGTTTTCTCAAAGAAATTTCCCTCCCATCGTTGACATTGCATCATAATGTTTTTCATTCTTTTAGATCCGACCGTCATTTCAGCGAATTATCGACGAATAGTCAGGCAAGGAGATTTTAAATTCATTCTTGGTAAAAGTGTTCCTATACCTGCAATGGATACTGCAGAAAAAATCACAGACGAATTTATAGAAGTTGAATATTTTCTCAAGAACAAAAACCGTGTTAAAGAAATCTTTCTACAACCAGTTCCACATGAACATTTGTTGAAAAAAAGCGCACAAAAGCAACCAGGAATCCCTTTGAACATTTTAATCATTGGTGTAGATTCACTGTCTCATTCGAATACGAAAAGGAAATTGCCTAAAGTGTATAAGTATCTTAAAAACGAACTTAGATCGATGTTATTTAATGGACATTCAATAGTCGGGGATGGAACCACGGAACAACTGACCGCAATGTTAACTGGATTAGGAGAGCTAGAACAGTACGAGTCAAGACGTCATCATAAAAAACCCAAACCTGTTGATGGTTGGTCGTGGATATATAAACAACTTAAAGGTAATTAAACTGTTGAAGTTTTGGTCGGAACTAATATATGTATTAGAATATTAATTGATATTATGCTCAACATCATTGAATAATTGTCAAATATCTAATAACTTTTTTCTGTGTTGGTGTTGTGAACACAGGTGAATATGATGTTTGTGATGTTACGCTGAGTGTATATCCACTGCGAACGAGCTTGAAAACATGACCGGCCACGGTGGGAATCGAACCTACGACCTTTGGAATACTAGCCAAATGCTCTGCCAACTGAGCTACGCGCTTAGGACGGTTCGAGTAAGTGATATTTCGGAACAGACTCTAGTTCCTTCGATATCATCGTAATCTAGCAATAGGATTTTTTCTGTGTTGGTGTTGTGTACTCAGGTGAATATGATGTTTGTGACGTTACTCTGAGTGTATATCCACACCGGACGAGCTTGAAAATATGCCCGGCCACGGTGGGAATCGAACCTACGACCTTTGGAATACTAGCCCAATACTCTGCCAACTGAGCTACGCGGTCAGGACGGTTCGAGTAAGTGATATTTCGGAACAGAATCTAGTTCCTTCGATACCAGTGTAATCTAGTAATATGATTTTTTCTGTCTTGGTGTTGTGTACTCAGGTGAATATGATGTTTGTGATGTTACTCTGAGTGTATATCCACACCGGACGAGCTTGAAAATATGCCCGGCCACGGTGGGAATCGAACCTACGACCTTTGAAATACTAGCCCAATGCTCTGTCAACTGAGTTACGCCGTCAGGACGGTTCGAGTAAGTGATATTTCGGAACAGAATCTAGTTCCTTCGATACCAGTGTAATCTAGTAACATGATTTTTTCTGTGTTGATGTTGTGTACTCAGGTGAATATGATGTTTGTGATATTACTCTGAGTGTCTATCCACACCGGACAAGCTTGAAAATATGCCCGGCGACGGTGGGAATCGAACCTACGACCTTTGGAATACTAGCCCAATGCTCTGGCAACTGAGCTACGCGGGGAGGACGGTTCGAGTAAGTGATATTTCGGAACAGAATGTAGTTCCTTCGATACCAGTGTAATCTAGTAATATGATTTTTTCTGTGCTGGTGTTCTGTACTCAGGTGATTATGATGTTTGTGATGTTACTCTGAGTGTATATCCACAACGGACGAGCTTGAAAATATGCCGGCCACGGTGGGAATCGAACCTACGACCTTTGGATAACTAGCCCAATGCTCTGCCAACCGAGCTACGCGGGCAGGACGGCTCGAGTAAGTGATATTTCGGAACAGAATCTAGTTGCTTCGATACCAGTGTAATCTAGTAATATGATTTTTTCTCTGTTGGTGTTGTGTACTCAGGTGAATATGATGTTTGTGATGTTACTCTGAGTGTATATCCACACCGAGCAAGCTCGAAAATATGGCCGGCCACGGTGGGAATCGAACCTACGACCTTTGGAATACTAGCCCAATGCTCTGCCAACTGATCTACGCGGTCAGGACGGTTCGAGTAAGTGATACTTCGGAACAGAATCTAGTTCCTTCGATACAAGTGTAATCTTGTAATATGATTTTTTCTGTGCTGGTGTTGTGTACTCAGGTGAATATGATGTTTGTGATGTTACTCTGAGTGTATATCCACATCGGAAGAGCGTGAAAATATGCCCGATCACGGTGGGAATCGAACCTACGAAATAGATTCTGTTCCGAATATCACTTACTCGAACCGTCCTGCCCGCGTAGCTCGGTTGGCAGAGTTTTGGGCTAGTTTTCCAAAGGTCGTAGGTTCGATTCCCACCGTGGCCGGGCATATTTTCAAGCTCGTCCGGTGTGGATATACACTCAGAGTAACATCACAAACAGCATATTCACCTGAGTATGCAACACCAAAACAGAAAAAATCATATTACTAGATTACACTGGTATCGAAGGTACTAGATTCTGTTGCGAAATATCAGTTACTCGGACCGTCCTGAGCGCGTAGCTCAGTTGGCAGAGCATTGGGCTAGTATTCCAAAGGTCGTAGGTTCGATTCCCACCGTGACCGGGCATATTTTCAAGCTCGTCCGGTGTGGATATACACTCAGAGTAACATCACAAACATCTAATAACTTCTAGTTGAACACTGTCTGATGTGCGACAGCGTCCAGTGAAAACCATTTTTTAATGCCAGGTCAGTACTTTTGACCAGTGTAGCACTGTTATTAGCATCACTTTTGTCCCCGAGCCGGCGGCGCGAAGCGCCGTTCGAGGGTACTAATTCCGCACGGCTAATTATACCCGGGTATGTGAAAACATAGCGGACTGCAAAGCATTGGTGCAAAGTTGTCCTCCATTTTGTTTTTGTCATGGACGGTTTTCGACGTTCTGCGCATGCGCGAGTACAAAATCTGTTGAAGTTAATTGCTGTTCATTTTGAAAGGACGTATTTTGCTGTTTTACAAGCAATTTTTTGTTTTAAATTTCGTTAAAAAGTTTAAGAAAGTACAACACTTTTTTCCCTCGATTTTAACTGGAAATAAGCCTGCAGTTTCATGAATTAGTGGCTGTTCAGCCGTGAAACAAAGTTTGTAGTAGTCTAATAATTGTTTTGATGTTTTGATGTTGATATCTTTGATAATTTAATCGTTGTTCTGCCGGTTTGGGTAAGTGTAAACATTTCAGTAGTAAAATGCCATGCCGTACTTGCTTTGTGTTGTCGGTTTTATTCATATCTTCGAAATTTTTAAGCCATTCTTAACTCTTTCTCGACAATCGGTTTCGTATTACATTTCGATACAATTCACTTTAATGGAAGCTGGTATGCAGTGAATATCACGGCATCAGTTGTATTTTTGTGTTGGTTTATAATGGTCTTAATACTTTATGTGGGGTTTTTATACTTCATCTGTTAAGAATGGCGAGGGGTTGCTGCATGCATGTATTTTCTAGTTATAACGTAATTCCTTCATGTTTGTGTGCTCATTATATAGAAACTGGTTACTTGACTGGTTATTCGGGTGACGATCCCGGGATTGGTCCATGGCAATACAGACTGATGGGCTTCACGAATCCACCAACCGATTTCTACACAAGACCATTTTATGCCATGGCTGCAAAGCTGATTAAAAAACCGAACATCTGCTTAGGTTCCAGGACTATATCAAAAGTTCAGTTTGATTACATTCGAGAAGTCTTTGATATGTTCAAGAATAAACTGAAGTTCTTTTTCTCATTCAACGGTAAGACAAGATTATCCCCGAGCCGACGGCGCGAAGCGCCGTGCGAGGGTACTAATTCCCCCCCGGCTATTTACACCCGGGGAAACGAAAGTATTAGCGAAGTCTAAAGTTCATCAATAATCGCGGGCGTGGGTGACCAACGATGTTGAGGTGGGTGGTCATCCTCACTGATCTCAAAAATATGGCGGACTGTCATGAATAGCGGACACTGATTGGTCCAATTTAAAGTTTGCATTATAACTCTGTGATTATAACGACTGCATTCATGACGACAGCGAAATAGCAAACATTTCTTGACTTGATAAATTTCTTGCAAATATATTTCATTTTTGCTCGCATTTTTGCAAGATTTTGTAAATTTCAGAAGGTTTCTCAGCAAGAAAGGGCGAAAGAATCGGCTAAAAGAAGGGAGCCCACGTTAACGAAAGTAAGTTTGTTTTAAATATTGATTCTATAATTGCTTTAAAACCCGACGGCCTTTGCGTATATGAAACAACTAAACAAGACAGCATATAATTTCATTGTATCTTTAATACTGATTCCCTTTTTTATTATATTGAATTTTTTAAAGGGAAATGGCAATATATTTTTTTATTTTCTCATTTGAAAGAACTTTTGAAACTATTTAATAACTTCTTTTACCGATTCTTCATATCCCGCTTAGTTCTTGAAATATTTTCACTTGAAGAAATGAGATGTCAGCCATCTTGGATAATTTTTTATCTCATTAACGGTAGTTTTGGTGACGTCACAACAGGGATTAACGATATAAAAGTATTCGTTGCTGACCAAATATTGATTGCTAGATGATTTAAAGGTTTCAAGTGATCTTGATATTTCCAAGCGCATACAGAGTATAATTTTGAGTGCAAAATGATTATTGTATGTCTAGATAAAAATATTGCGTGACCCCTG